ACTTTACGGTTTTTGCTCGTTCGGGTTCGTTTTAACTCGAAATTGAGTTCCCTTTTTTTCTACGCGTCGCTAACGAACCCCTCTATCTAACTATGTAAACTCATCAAATATTTTCTTGAAAACCTGTCCTCTCGGAGCTTCCTACCTGCACACCGAAAATGAAAACAAAACCGAAAACCACCGAAAAACAAACGGAACACACCAAGACACTCAAAATAACGCAAAACACGCAATAAACGACAAAACAACCTGAAAACTAACTAAATGACTCAAATTGGGGGAAAAGAATGATAAAATAGCAAAGAAAAATACAACAAAAATGGGACAAACATCAGGCTAGATCCTCCTTGTGTTAGCCCTGGAATCTTCACCCCAGGTGGTGTGATGGGTATTTCTTCCTCCATACGTGCTCCCAACGGCGCGTGCCCTCCGAACGGCGGGAAGCCGAGCACCTGAAGTGGTGGTCTAAGGCCAGGAATCGACGGCGGCCGTTTGTCTGTCCACGTTGCCCGAAAGTCCTCGTTCAGATTTCTCGGCAGTCCCTCCTTCTCCGCCATGTCAAACAGATCGAAACTAGGTGCAAAGCTCTTACTTCCTTCAAGAACTTCCCACATACGACGCCAATTTGATGGGTCTCCTTCTAGATCTGGAGTGAACCGGGGGAAATGAGCTCTGGTCTATTCGAATCGCCTCCAAATCGTCCGTGAATCGCTGTGAACACCTGCAAGAACTCAACACCAGAAGTGTTGTGAAGAGCCTCCGACGCTCAAGTCAGTGAGAGAGAAGAAGATAAGCTCTGCTCAGTAGGAGCAGCAGCTGAAGAATGAATAGAGAGAATGAAAGTTAGGGTTTGGAGTTACCTTAGCCCCTTTATATAGGGGTAGAACACTTACTTGAAGTACCTAAAATGCCCTGGCCGACTTACGCGAAGTGTCCAAAATGCCCTGGTCTGTTCGCATTCTACCCACTCCTGAGTCAGCATCTAGATTCCTTCTCATCCTGTGTGAACTCACTTGGGGATCCTCCATATGCTGCATCTAAGTGTATCAAGTCGTCGAAGGTCTTATAAGTCGACCTGGGACCTTGCCGAGTCGAATTAAGGTTACACATGTATCCGGGGCTCCTAGAGCGCCTGCTCGTCTTCTTCAGTGAAGTCGTCTTGTACTCGGTCGACTTCCTAAAGTCAAATGGAGACCGTGGCCGGACCAGTGGCCTTTGAATGGCCGATGGTCCAAGCCGACATCGTAGATGTCGACTTAATAAAGTCGTCCGCAGTCTTTAGTCGGGTAATCATCATTTGAATCGGGTTATGATAATAGGATTATATCACTAGAGAAGATATTATATTAAAAAAATAAAAAAATAAAATACCGCTGGTGAATATATTATATGTCAGAAACAATTAACCAACTGTTACTAAAAATATACCAATTACTAGGAAGATATATTTCTGTGGAAAAAAATAATTTGGAGAAGATATACTACTACCTTTTGTACTGCGTGCCTTATGCTTTCGTGACCATCTGAGACAATGCAAAGACCCTCCATATCACCAACTACTTCTTGCAATTTGGTGAAAAACCAGGCGTAGGAGTTCTTATTTTCGGAGTCAACAACGCTAAATGCAAGCGGTAATATATGAGAATTTGCATCTTGACAAGAAGCTGTCAATAAAATTCCTCCATACACCGACGACAAAAATGTCCCATCGACAATAACGATTGACCGACAATGTACCCATCTTTTTACAGATGCACCGAGTGCCATGAAAACGTACATGAAATTCTTATCTCATGTGGTGCGCATCAGCACAATGCTACCCGGGTTTGATGCACGTACCTTACTAAGATATTGATGAGCATAATCGTATGACTCATCAACCTTGCCAAGAACTTCATCAACAACTTTGCGTTTCGACCTCCATGCTTTGTGATATGTCAAATTTATCCCAAACCGATTTTGCATGTCATCAATGATATCACCCGGACTATATGCAGTTTTATTGTTAGTGAATTTTGTCTTGATGAAACTACTAACAAGGGTTGATGTCGCTTGTCTTTGATTACTAGTTCGCACATCCAAACCACATATATGTTCAGTCCCCACGTGTCTTATCTTAAAGGTGTTCGACCGACCCACATGTGAAGCTTTCACAAACCATGTACAATCGCTCGACACACACCTGACATAACATTAAAAGTGTTAGATAAAAAAAGAATATAAGTTAGATATAACATAGAATAACTTAGATATATAAGTATAAGTTAGATATAAAAGAATATAACTTTGATATACCAGATCAAGTTAGATATAGCAGAATATAACTTAGATATACCTGACATAAAATTGTTTGGAACATGACTTGTCAACCTTGAATTGATACTGATGCTTTATAGCATGCATTGTCAGCATCGTCTGTAACGTTTCCTTATCCTTTAGTAAAATACCAGGAACAATACCATAGTCAAAATTTTGCTCGTCTAGCAACCGATTTTCAGATCCAGGGTATATGTCCAGTATATTCTCGGTATATGCTGCCACTTCTACCATCTCTTCAGCCACGTTCCTCGCGAACGACAAGAAATTTATCGTGCCTTCTGATTTATCAGGATATCTGTCAAGCTCTGGATAACACAGTGGAGCAATGTTTCATTTGCAATTCAACGAACCTATATTCACTTCTTCATCAAACGAATTTTCAACACTACTCCGAGATTTCACCACAACGCACACCGGATATTTCGTGTAGTCAGCTTCTTTGGACACCAAAAACACATAGAAGCTAAGGCTGCTATTGTTGTTTATCGACATTAGTGGACTACCTTCCTTCAACTTATATTTTAGGTCGAGCACAGTTGATTGACGTATCAACCCTAGCTCCGCACACAATATACCGCATAATTCGTCGTAGCTGCTTTCTTTTCACAACACCTGATAGTTGGTAAATACACGTAATGATTCACGACCCATTCACCACCATGATGTATGAAGACATCATATTCGGATCCATATGAAAAAAAAAATTAACATCTTTCACGAATTCACAGAAATATACCTCCAAATATCACGAAAATATACCTCCAAATATCTGTCCAGTCCATTTTTTTTTTTCCGAAATCGAAAAATCCGATGCCCGCCGCACGTTTTTTTTTTTTTTCAATAAACGGAGTTCGTGTTTCAATAGAATCTCATCGCCGTCTTGTTTTTCATTCTCTTTTCCGCTTTGTGTTCAACGATGATTATGCATTCAAAATTCAAAATATAATATATTTTCCATATAAAAATCCTGAGATTGTGCCTCTAAAAATATGGAAGCTGTTGATCACACATGTAACGGTTTTTTTAGGCATGAATATAAATTCTTTTTATCTTTACACAAATTTTTTTGTTTGAATGGTAATTTTGCAATTACCTAAAACACGTTAAGTATAGGTAAAAAATTCCCTAGTTTTTGTGTACGAATTTGGGCAAATTTGTGGACAGTGGTGTGCAAACTGTTATGCAAACCTTTACGTTAGATGAACATATATCTTTTTATTAAATAAAATAATCTGAAATGCTATAAATTTAAAATACATATTTTTGCATAAATAGTAGCATGTTATTTCACCATACGATATATACGTCTTTGTTTACTAAATAAATAAATAATTTGAAGCGTCTTCGTTTAATAAGTCGAAACAGGTCGATCCGTCTATCGATTAAGTCGCTCAAAACATGTTTGTGATAATATATTAATATTATGATTTTGTATCGTTGTAATGTTTAGTCTACATAACATAAGATCTATTATTCATATCACAACTTAGTTTATACTTTCTTGGACTTTGCATGACCTAAATCTCCTTGGGGGGTGTGAAAGAGTACTAGTTTACTTAAAATGCATCTAGTAGAAATAATGAAGAATATTATTAAATGAAAACTTCTTTATAAATTTCAAAAGTTAAAAATAACATTATTGGAAATGATTTATAAATTAGATGTACAAAGTTACCCCCCAAAAACTAATATGCTAGAGAGGAGTCAGAAACATTACACTATTTGTTCTTCAGCTACCCCCAAAGCCTCAAGGATATGTGCACTGGCTCCAGTTCAATGGGATGGATTGCAACACTTCTCAGATTGTTTCTCTTATTGGTGGAGTCAGATCAGCTCAATTCCTAACTCCGAAGATAACAATGCCAGAATGCAGCTCACGGCTTACTTACTTTGGTGGATTTAAAAAGCAAGAAACTTGTAAATCTTTCAAAATGCCTGGAGAACAGAGTTGGCGATGGTGACTATTGCTCTGGAAGAATGGCTTGAAATCTTGCTGTGCTATAGTTTTTGTGCTCTTGTTTTTATGGTTTGTCAGCTAGGTGTTAGTTTTGCTTTGGACTGTTTAGGTTGTGTTTGTATTCTTAGTTTATGTATTTTTTTTGGTTGTGGGTGTTTTCGGTGAGCTAAACTAGGGCTTTTGCCAGTGGTTTAGCTCCTTTTGCAGTAGTTTATGGTAGGTGGGAAAACACTCCTGGTATCTATGCTTTGTCATTAGTCAGGGCTTGTTCACCTTCATGCAGTAGTTCTTTTATTTTGTTCTACGGCACTTCAGAGTTCAGTGTTCCTCTCTTTCAGCCTTGTGGTTGTTTATAGGGCAATTTAGCCTTACCTATTGGACATTGATTTGGAGCTATAAATAAAACCTATCGTTTCGAAAACAAAAACAAAAAAA